TCAAGATAATGATGAGTAGTAGATAATTAGTTGTTAGCAGTACTGCATTTTAATTTTAGAAAGTGCAAATCTGCTTATGAATTATAAAAAATAGTAAGACCGCTAAAGTGCAAATGAAATATTAAGGTCTGCAATTAGCGGATTTGTGCTTTAGCAGGCTGGTGCCCACCACTGTTTGTTTGTGTGCTCTCTAAACTAAGCACAGCAGACGGTTTGTGCTCCTCAGACACATTTTSAAGTTTGATCCCAGCAGGTTTTATCTCCAGGACTGGTCAGTTCGCTATCCTGCACGTTTTACTTGTTTCTTTTGCTCCAACACACCTGATTCAGTGACTGAATCACAWCTTCAGGTTTGGCAGAATTCCTGTTAATCACCCATTCGTTCAAATCAGGTGCTGGAGCAGAGACAAGTAACGTGCAGAATAGCAGACCTCGTGGACTAGGATTGCATAAATAAATAAAAAATAATGGAACGTTGTTTTTTTTTTCTTGATAATTCTGACCTGTTTTACATAATATCATATATATAAGAGCAGACACTGACATAACCCCATCATATAATGATTAATCATCACAGCTACAGCTCAGTCCTTTCTCAGCAAGAAGATCTTAGTCTAAAACGCTGACGATTTACATTTCTTCAAAGATGTGAATATAAACAACTGCCTAGCACCTACTATTAAGACAACCCAAGCCTTAAACTGAACTGTAAGAAATACAATTCAAACTGACTGAAAAATCCAGAGCCTTGACTTTGAGCCTTCAATTCCACTGAGGTTTTTTTTCAGTTATCTTTGGCCTACAGTGGTATTTATCCAACTAGTTTAGAAATATTGGCTGTAGTGATGCCTGCCTTTTCTCCGGTATAATGGGACTGCTGCACTTGAGTTGTTCAAAGTGCAGCAATAACAAGTTTTAAAAACTGCAGAAACCTCTGTCCTGAAATGAAAACACTGATCCTTGTTTTATGTTTGAACTACATTTTTCTAGTAAAGCAATGCATAGATATGATAGCAAACATGGTGTCCTCATTACAACTTATGATCTGATGTTAAAGTCTACAAAAACAGAAGTATGATTTATAACTGTGAACTACTATAACACRTTTTTATCTTCCCCAGTGAATTGTTGGTGTGTGAGAAAAAGAAAAAAGTGATTATTTGTTGGTTGAGTTAAGGAAGTTGATGGCAAATTATTTGCAATTCAAATGAGTGCAAATCATTAAGATAGATTTGAGCGTTTYCTCTTTGTCTGACATTTTTTAATTGTGGTGAGATATGTTGAAAAATTAATGCAACAACTCTGCCAGAGAGAATCTTGTTCTCTTTCTTCTTCCTTTTCTGTCACAAGTACAAGCTTCTTGAATATTATGTGTTCTGTCCTCAGAGCCGTGACGCTACAATGGTTGGAGTTCTGTAGAGAGAAAATGTTTCCTACTTTAAACTGATACATGCTGTGGTTTCTGAACAAAACTTTATACTGTCAGTTCTTTTTTTTTTCTTGGCCAGTATTATGTATTATGTATTATGTATTATGTATTATGTATTACGTATTTTCCAGCCACAGAATTCAGTTCTATACCACAATCAAGTAACTGTTACCTTCAGTTGTTGCGAAAATGCTGTAAAATAAATTTGACTTTGCATCATAGTCTATCTAAACGCTTTGAAATTGGCCTGTCTCTTTAAGAATTCCCTACCATTTCAGACACTCCCACTTCAGCACATCTTCACAACAATGCTTCAGGGGAGGGGTGCTCTGTGGGGCAGAAGCTCCAGAGTCTCCTTCCAATGAAACATGACCAGAAAACCTCAAAAGGGGCGTGCCCCGTAGGCTTCATGAGCAGATTCCTGAACCACCTCAACTAAGATGTTGCAGGGGAGCAGCAGCTCTCCCCTGACAGAGCACCTGACTCATCACTGTATCTCAAAGACTGACTTTGGCCCCTCTATAAAAGCAGCTCATTTCTGCCACTCGAACCAGGGATCTCACTCTTCCAGTCATGATCCGTTCCTCACAACAGTCCGTAGSAACGCCCTCATTRCTGCAGATGAGACCAGAACTCCTTTTCTAAATTTGGGGGAAGCAACAAAGAGAGTCGAGGCAAAACAAAATGCACAATCTGAAACACAGTTTTGCAAACCTTTTGCATGAAAGTRCATCATGATTTTCAAAAAATTGGCTTCTCAAAACGCACTTGCATGCCTCACTGCTCGCTCAGTCACAAACACTCAATATTCAGTCAAATGGCAACAGAAAATTCATGCAATATCTTACCGTTTTCTGGCAATTTGGGTCTGCCAATTTGTCACAGCCCAGTGAGATACCACTTCCCATGTCTAAATGTGGCCCAGAGGCTAAATATTTGGACAAGATCTCCCTGCAGACAAACACCCATATCGCACAATCTCTTCTAAATCATTTTACCACTCCCACCTGTCTGTGTTAGAATAATAGAAAATGTTAGCCAGTTTAAAATTGAGTTGGATACAGCTTATTGTGTGAGGAAGACGAGGATTGCCGTGTTCAAATAAAGCCGACTGTAAGATTCAACCTGAAAAGACGTGTTTTCGTTTAGAAAATGTAGCTCCACTGAATAAACARCATGAATTCAGGTCACTGCAAAATGTATTCTACGTCAGCCAGGAGAAGATTATTTACAGTGACTATTTTGTTTTGATTCCCCCCCACCCTTTATTCCACTATAATTCTCTCAGTGCTGGCTCTCAAGGACAAGGCCTTGCTTCTAATACATTTATTTTCCGAGGAAGCAAAGGTAGTCTGACAGATGCAGCTATTCAGAGTGGAGGAAGAAGAAAAAGAAAGAAAAAAAAACGGAACCATGACAGAATATGAAMACATGGAAATGAATCCCATTTCACCAGCGAGGAAAGGGCCCTTTATTTTCTCCCTCTTCCCTCCTTTTTTCTCAGCCTCCCTCACCCAAACTGCCTGTCTGCGACCTTAAATAACAGTCTCACTGTCAGAGCCGATTTAGCTCACCAGCTCACAGATAAATATTTGAAACGAAAAGGCAGTGAGATGAGAGCAGTCGGCCCTATTTACAAGTCAGGCGAATATGCCATTAGTGTGTGATGGTGGTTGGAAGCTGTGGGGCTTTGGGGTTGTGGGGGGATGGTGTGGGGGGTGTGGCTGCTGGAACCGTCTGTACAGTAGCACACATCTGTTCTCCTCACCAGACAGCAAGGAGGACACATGCAGCRTCTCTGATCCACCTGCCCACCCCGGCGACGCAAAATGTCACCTCGGCTCGTCTTCGCAGCCACTTTGAGGTTCATCCCACCGCAGGCACGTGTTAAATCACAATGAGCCGGGCCGTGAAAGCAGCCGTTTAAATATGATGCTGAGCCTTTTGTCGGCGGAGGATTATAAAGTCAGCGACTCACACAGCCGTCATGGCGGCCGGAAATAGCACGTCCCATTTAGTGTTCCTCTATGCTTCCGTTTTGTTACGATCAGTCATATGTGACGTCGTAACAAAGCAAAAATGGTGTTCAAGACTAGAAATAGGCAGATGGTTTGTCCACCATTCAGCTCTAAAATCAACTTGTTTCTGTAGTGTTTACACTGCAGCTCAGTTCAGCCAAACAAAAACAGGGCGGTGAGGTATTTGCACCTGTGTCTATTTGATCTCATGGACATTTGGATTTGTAACTGGTTAACTAAATAACTGGATGCAGATTCATTTCATTTTACAAATCTTTACTTGTTTTGTATACGTGTTTATTACTCCACAATTATGGGATCATTGGGAAACCAAACTTCATTTGCTGAACAAAGAACTGGGATTTGTTTCGGA